GGAACAACACTATAACACACATTTGTATGACTAGTCACAGATCGACGGTGTAACTTCAAAACACAGAGGCAGATATTAAAATGGAGTCAGATTGAGTTAAACCTAAATTGAATAACTCGGCGCGCTGAAAAGACCGAACACGCAAGAGACCTTCATCCGCCACTGGATACCTTCCTTGGGCCAGGTGCGCGGACCTTACACCTCCATATTATTAATGCATCTTGTTTTCTTCTAGAGCATCAGTGAGCGTTTGAACTTTTTGAAATAGTTGCATGTAAGTCTCTCAGTTGTCCTCAGCGTGAGAAGATGGATCTCAAAATCAAGGTCAAATACATTGTACTGTACGAGAGCACAAAATGTCAATTACGCAGAATGCTGTAATTTTCCAAGAAATAATAAATTAACTTAACTGTATAGTGTATAATTGATAATGATGGTGAAGTAGATTTTGCTGTACTGCAGTAGATCACAATTTACAATCATATTTAACATGAAGTCATGAAGTCACTCACCGAACACATGAATTGAAACACTTGTTTTTGTATAGGTCCATTTCAGTCCACCTTCACCCTCAATCCTGAAGTAATATTGACCAATGTGATTTGATCTGAGGTCATGAAAAACAGTGGTACAGTTCTTGTCTTTCAATTTTCCAGTTATTTTCCCTTTCATTAAGGAGTTATGGCTTGATGTGCTTGAGTTAAACACTAGATTTTTGTTCATATCAGTCCCGTTCTTGAACCACTGTCCTGTAGCTCTCTCAGTGAGGTCTTTGTCATATTGATCCTGAATCTCAAATCTGCACTTTATGATCACACAGGATCCATTGAGAGCTTCGATCTTCTGCGGCAGACTGATGTTGAAATCTCTACAGCAAACAGCTACAGTACAACACACACAATGAAAAGCATTCAAACACAAGCAGAAATAAACACTGAAGCATTCAGACACACCAACACATTTCTGATGAGTCCTAAACTTTTTTTCCCCGTTTTATATATAATTGCAGTAATGGATCATTTCTATAATAGGTGAACATAAGAAGAACAACAGCAACAGTGAAATCTACCTCAAACACAATTATATTAACTATTAATGTATTTAATAATACATTATAAATAGTCTATTTTGAATGAGATCCCAAACTTCAGAAAACATTTTGTGTATCAGTCACTATATGAATTAAAGTTACCGTATATTTTCATGCATGCAGACTAAATGTAGTTAAGCACTTAGAACTGTTAATTTACTAGTTAATTTAGCACTTAATCTAGTTAATTTAAATTCTCAGTCACACTGAACAGGTCACACTTTACTAGATGAAGAAGAAGAAGAAGAAGAAGAAGAAGAAGAAGAAGAAGAAGAAGAAGAAGAAGAAGAAGAAGAAGAAGAAGAAGAAGGGAATGAAAATCAAACCTCGTAAGAGAAAACAGAAAAGAATGCTTTTCTCTGCAGTGCCCATCAGACGCTCAGTCCCTGTGGGGAAAAACACACTTGCATTTGCAGAAATTACAAAAAGGATTCATGAGAGTCACATATTAAGCTCCACAAATAATGCAAACTGATTGTTTTGAAATATACAAAATTAACATTTATGAAATGTTTAAAAGTTTCCAACCAGAAATGAGAAAAGTCAAACCAGCGTAAATTCTGAACTGCTGCTGATTTGAGACTGAGCGGAAGTGTGTGAATCACAAACACAATATACTGACTGAACTTCCTGTGTCAGCAGCAACTTAGGTGTTCCTTTAATCACTTGTACATTCATGAACTTTTAGCATTTTTAGCATTTATAACAAACTTTCAGCATTTTGTAGTGGTTTATGTTCAGAACTCCCCTTCTTTCTGTTGTGGAATGATAGAAAATATTGTTTGGGTTGAATTAGTGCTGGAAAGCTTTAGTTGAAATTATTCAGCAGTTTGTGTGCTTGTTTTGATTGGTAAAAAGTGTAAATTTGTGATTTAAATTTGTTTTTGTTGTGTTGTGAATCTTTTGTGTGATTTTGTGTATCAGTTATAACTCACTTCATCTTTTGAACATTTTCTCGTGGCACGTCAGCTCTGTGGAAGTTATCAATTTTCTTTTCTAAAAAGCATGTGTTCATGTTCAAATGTAGCTATATATGACCCTTACAGGAAGAGAAACCAATAGGTCAGACTCAGACAGGACTGGCATTTATAATTAAATTTATATTTCTCCCACACCTCTGTCACACTTTAAACTGTCTAAATGTAATTGCATTACAACTTTTGCATTCTGGGCCTTATTTTTGCTATAGGCCAACCTGGGTCAAAGTGGTTTTTATAGGGGCTGTGAAGTCAGTTCCTCGCAAGTGCAAAAAACCCTGCAGAGTCAACATGATGTACAACAAATTGCATTAGCGTTTGACAACAACAAAGTGTCAAAAAGTGTTTTCATTTTGAATTGTAAATCTTATTTTTTTATTAAAATCTAATAAAATAAGTTTATTAACAGCTGAGGGCAGCTGTATTCTAGCCTGGCTTCTATGACTGGGTTGGATTCCTCTTAGCACAAGTCCTCTGAAGTACGTAGGCGCTGAGTCCTTGCCTTGGAAGATAGCTATCCGAGGATAGCCATGTTTCATCTCAATACTGACCCCTTTTCAAAGTTAGCCGTCTTTGAGCCTCTTGCCTGGACTGTGTTATCTCCCCTGTTAGGGTTTTAAGTAGATAGCCCACTTTCCGTGGTCTGGGCAATCTTCAGCCTTGCCTGAGGAAACTGCTATTCAAGGATAGCTGTGTTCTAGCCCGGCAACTACTCCCCTTATTAGGGTATTTAATTAGCGGTCTCCTTGAGCCCATTGCCTAGACTGTGCTGTCTCCCCTGTTGCCGGTACCCTCCACCCCCCTCCAAAAAAATAAATAAATACATTTAAAAAATAAATAAATTTTCATAATTCCCAACGTATGTATATATAATGCTGAAAGAAAAAAAGAAAGTTTGTTTAGAGCATTTTTAATATACAGTAAATAAGCACCAGTTAAGCTGCGAGACCAAACAGACCACTAAACATGCTGCCTCAACCTGACTGTACATGCTAATATACGGATCCATTCAGAATAACTAAACCACTGTCCAGCGCATAATCTAAAATACTCATGCTTTTAAGCCAAATTCACACTGAAAAGAATAATTGCCATCTGGATGTGAGTCACTCTTCTATCCGCCATCTCTGATGAAATCGTCCATGTTTTCTCTGCATTAGCGCTGTATATATAACTTATTACTTATTACTAATGCATTCCCTTACTGGATCCTTGAACTTTCCAGAAGTTTACCGGTTTCAAATTACCTCCTTGGTAGTGTCCTTTATAGTGTCATTTCTAATCACCCAGACACTAATGCTTTGACTCAGTACTGGCAACATGTCAGAAGTGCCGGTACACAAGAAAAAGTGCCAGAACGCTAAAGACTAAGACATTGAAGTGCCTGTACTGCGTACCGGCCCACTTCAAGCACTGATATAGCCCACTCTCTGTGTGAACGGCCCAGGGCCTTGGTCCCTTTCTGAAGAAAGGTTAGATGTGTGTCTGTCACTTCCTTGGTGCTCTCTCACCAGGTGGAACAGGCATGCGCCGCGGCATGGCATAAATGGCATTTCATTCAGGACGCAGCGCGAGCCCCCTACAGGGGGAACGTCTCGGGTTACGCATTTAAACATGGTTCCCCAAGAGGGAATGAGATGCTGCTTCCCCTTGCCATGCCTTCAGCGTGCTATGCGTTCCGCCGCCCATTTTCCTCATACCTTTCCTTTAGAACAGTGGTTTCCAATCCAGGAGACTCCCACTGCACATTGTGTATGTCTTCCTTATGAATAAACCTGACTGATAGCATCAGAAGAGAACTCCATGAACTCAACTGATTGTGTCAGATAGGAGAGACATCCAAAATGTGCAGTACTGTGGTTCCCCAGGACCAGGACTGAAAATCACTGAAAGCATGATTAAAGAAACAAAGAAGAATATAAAATGTGCATTTATTGTTAGACAGTCCATATAATGGTTCACAAAATTACATAAACGTGTAGTATTTAAAACAAAATAGAATAGAATATTTATGCACACTCTTTTTTTTTGCACAATCTTTATCAAATTAATCTCAACTTTTATCTTTTTTAAATTACAAGTATAACAAACCAATAGCAAAAGTGCATGCATGGAAAAATAAATGTTTAATTCAAACATCTAAATAGATTTGAATATGCCAAGAAATGGATATTCAGTTGGCAGCGAGGCATGGTCTTCATGCTTTTACAATGTATCAAGACATGGGATCCACGTGAAATGTGTTTTTTTTTGTTAATGAGTTATCCAGTTGGAGGACATCGAACATATTTGATTTTTAAGACGATTCTAGAACATACAGTATATCGCAGTGTATGATGTGTCTTATAACTGACTTATTGCCACTCACCTCCAACTCCCACTGCAATCTGTAGAGGGTCACTACAACAAAGAATGCAGTCAGCTCCTGCTGCTTATACATTCATGAACATAAACGTTTTATCTCTTTTGTAGCATTTTTAGTTTATTAATAAGCAAGTTAAATTTTTTAACTCCTCTTCATACTAGAAGACTGACATGTTTGAATCAGTGAAAGAAAAGCTCTAGAGTGTCTGTTGAAGTTGTTCAGCAGTTTGTATGCTTGTTTTGGTTGGTAAAAAGTGTAACTTTGTTTAAAACCTAAGGTTTTTGTGTTGTGCTTTGAAAATCTTTTGGTGATTTTGTGTCAGTTATAACTCGCTTCATTGGTCAAATGTTTCTGATAGCACTTCTACAAAGTAATCTATTTTCTTTTCTTAAAGCATGTGTTCCTGTTCAAGAGTAGCTATATATTAGGAAGAGAAATCAATAGGTCAGATAGGACTAGAATAATTAATAAAATTTATAACACGATTAAATATATATACGTGTCTGAATGTCATTGCATAGATACAAAATGACAAAGCAAGTGGCCTTAGCAAAGAAATTTTGCAAGAGCTTTTCTTAGAACTGACTACCCTTATTTTGCTTAACCAGCCTGGGTCAAAATAATTTTAGTGGATGTGTGAAGTGAAGTCAGTTCCCTTTATGTTCACACAAAAAACCCAGCAGAGTAAGCATGATGAACAACACATCACATTAGCGCTTGACAACCACAAAGTGTCAAAAACGTTTTGTTGATTTTGAATTCAATATCTGTTGTTTTTTTGCTCTTTATAAAATGTTTTGCTTGAAAAACCTAAGAGAGTGCCCAATGTGAGTGCTTTCAATTGGTCCCAAAAATACAATATTTATTAATTATTAATTCCAAAATATTTGTAAAAAAAACTAAACAATTATTTCAATAATAAAATAATGTTTTTAATTTGCAGTACATGTAAAACAATACACGTAATACATTTTTGAAAACAAGAATTAAAATCTGTGGGAAAATATTTGTTAAAATGCAATTGATGGACACGCAACATTTTTAAAGCCATTAAATATAAAGTTTTCTGGAGAATTGTATTAGGGTATTTTCAAAACCATGTTCATACTCATGACATTTCACAATATCTGCTACTTGGAATAAATTGTATAATAAGTATAATAATTATTTAAATAAATGAATTAATTAATGGATAAATCATTGTTATCTGCACCGTATGTCAGAAAAGCATGTGAGCTCATGATTTACACTTATTTTATGCACAATTTACATAATTGTTTTTTTTCATCTACAGAATCGCTAGATGTTTTACATTGTGTGAATCACAGAACTGAAAGTCACATGCAACCTGAGGGAATTTGTGTGTGTAAATATATATATATATATATATATATATCTGAAGCTGTCCTGTTTCAGGCACCAAGATGTTCAAGTTCCACAGGTTGCGAGATAGAGCACATCCCAAAGATGCTCAGTTGGATTGAGACCTGGGGAATTTGGAGACCAAGTCAAAACCTTTGCAGTGTGGCAGTGTGCATTATCCTGCTGAAAGAGGCCACTTCCACCAGGGAACACCACTGCCATGAAGGGGTGTACCTGGTCTGCAATTATATTTAGGTTGGTGTCGCGTGTCAAATTTACATCCACATGAATAACCGGACCCAAGGTTTCCCAGCAGAACACTGGGCAGGGCATCACACTCGCTCCACCGGTTTGTCGTTGTCCCACAGTCCATCATGGTGCCATTACTTCCCTGGGAAAATGGCACACACATACACAGCTGTCCACATGGTGTAGAAGAAAATGGGACTCATCTGACCAGCCAACCTTCTTCCACTGCTCCATCGTAGGTGCTTTCAAGGGTGGACAGGGGGTCATAGGCACTCTGGTTAGTGGAGTTGTGACAAACTGTACCAAACCACACAAGTGAAATGAGGCAAATACGCTGAAGGGGGCGCTGTTGTCCAACACATGCAACAGTCAGTAGAGCTCTCTGCCCTGTAACCAGCAATATGCTAATATTGTTGATAAATAACCCTTAACGAAACATATGAATAATCATATTTTAAAAATTGACAATCTATACAGATGGTTGGACAGTAAAACAAATAGGGTGATAAGGGCAGGGTTGAAAAGTTGAGAGGGATGGAGTATGGAAATGAAACAAAAGGCAAGTTTGGTGGGTTTACCATGGTAATACCTTGATACAGAATGATTACCACATTCATGTTCTGACGTTCCAAGCCACTTTGAAGAATCATACACTTGTTTTATGTCCAAAAAATGCCCCTGCTGAGATATAAAGGTGAGAGGAGTCTGTCAACAGCTCTTCCTCTGCTTCCTTCAACTGTTTGTTAGTGCACATGTGGTTTTCAAAAACCAGCTGAACTTCAACTGAATTAATATGCGGTGAACCCAAAAAGTATGTGGACACAGTGTCACAATGTCTAAATATCAATCAGTCATGATACAAAATGACAAAGATGCATCCGCAAACAAAGACTTATTCAGAACTAACTTCCCTACTCCGTGCTTTATTTGTTAGCCTATGTCAACTGCTATCAATGTGCTTTTAGTAGATGTGAGAAGACTGTTCTTGTCAAGTTCACACAAATATAGCAGTGAAACTACAGCACCATTCATCACATTAGTGTTTGACAGCCACAAAGAGTCAAAGTACTTTTTTGAGTTTGTTGTAAATAATATTATGTTGTAAAATATGTTAACATATTTTAAATAAATGTCCCTTTTGTTGTTGTTGTTGTTTTCTCTGTATGACATGAAATCACAAAACTGGTGTATGTTATTCTAAAAAAATTAAATGTAACTAAATTTCTCCAGAATTTAACTTACAATTGACTGACTTTATTGACACAATGAAAAATCATTGCAAAATTAAACTAATGGGAAGTGTGACGGCAGCTTCTGAACTTTAAGAAGTCAGTCACCATCATCTTCAGTATTAAAAATAAATGTGGCAGCACTATCAGCTTCCTGCTCAGCATTCACACATTTAGAAGAGCTTTTCAGATCCACTCTATTAAAGGTAACTTTTTTCTCCAGACCAAAAGCATCTTATACAGTCTAATCAGATAGTTGTGCACAAGAAATAAGGATATTTTAAATAAATGTCACTTTTGTTGTTGTCGTTGTTTTCTCTGTATGACATGAAATCACAAAACTGGTGTATGTTATTCTAAAAAAATAAAATGTAACAAAATTTCTCCAGAATTTAACTTACAATTGACCGACTTTATTGACACAATGAAAAATCATTGCAAAATTAAACTAATGGGAAGTGTGACTGCAGCTTCTGAACTTTAAGAAGTCAGTCACCATCATCTTCAGTATTAAAAATAAATGTGGCAGCACTATCAGCTTCCTGCTCAGCATTCACACATTCAGAAGAGCTTTTCAGATCCACTCTATTGAAGGTAACTTTTTTTCTCCAGACCAAAAGCATCTTATACAGTCTAATCAGATCGCTGTGCACAAGAAAGAAGTGGCATATAAACCATTTCAGAAGAAGCTTGTCCAGAAGAACTAAAAAAAAATAATAATAATAATAATTTGAAAGGTGTTTACTGGTTACATTTTAAATGTCCCTTTTGTTGTTGTTGTTGTTTTCTCTGTATGACATGAAATCACAAAACTGGTGTATGTTATTCTAAAAAAATAAAATGTAACAAAATTTCTCCAGAATTTAACTTACAATTGACCGACTTTATTGACACAATGAAAAATCATTGCAAAATTAAACTAATGGGAAGTGTGACTGCAGCTTCTGAACTTTAAGAAGTCAGTCACCATCATCTTCAGTATTAAAAATAAATGTGGCAGCACTATCAGCTTCCTGCTCAGCATTCACACATTCAGAAGAGCTTTTCAGATCCACTCTATTGAAGGTAACTTTTTTTCTACAGACCAAAAGCATCTTATACAGTCTAATCAGATCGCTGTGCACAAGAAAGAAGTGGCATATAAACCATTTCAGAAGAAGCTTGTCCAGAAGAACTAAAATAATAATAATAATAATAATTTGAAAGGTGTTTACTGGTTACATGTTTTCTGCTATACTGGTTTAATTTACACACAACTATAAGCAAACCATTAGGCTACTGAATTACCAATAATGCCTTTTGAATTACATGTTATAAATGTGAGCAATGCATATCCACTTAAAAATATATATTTTTTGCATTGTAATGCCATTAAAAAATCAACACAACATGCTACACACACACATTTGTTTAATTATTTTTAAAGTGTCAAAAGACTAAACCTACAAATCTTGCAGTAAAGACATTTTCTTAACCAACTCCCTTTTATATTTTAAAGACCAATTCACACTGTGAATTGTGAATTGTCACTTCTCAGACATTCCACGACCTGACAAACACCATTTGAGCATGTTCAACTAGCGAAAATGGGCTCTGACCAACTCCAACAGACACCGACGGGAGTAACACACTGATTCGACAACACCCGATGAACTGTCTGTTAACATTTGTCAATGTCTGTCTGTCTGTGCAATGTGAATTGGCCTTATGCAAAAAAACTTATACAAACAATCAAATGTAAATATGTAGAAAAAATAAACAGTCCTGCTATAAGTAAACTAGCATTTAAAGTTAAAAAAAGAGAGAGAATTTAATACAAGCATACCAGAAATGAGAAAACAGTCTGCCCTGTGTAGTTACAGTTGCTGAATTACTTACACAACATTCAAATGATAACATATATTGCAACTTTCTATTTCTCAACATAAATCCTGTATTTTCTGTGATTGTTTTGGCAAATAGGGCTATATAGACTTTAAGGTTTACAGCTGTTCACACTAATGAAATATATATATATATATATAACATTACACCCTGATCTGAAGCTGATACAGTCTAATCAGATATGGATTAAATGCCATGTAAATATTATAAAAAATAAATTATTTAAAGCAAAATCTTCTTAAAAAATAACAATAATAAAAGCATGGGTTACAGTGTGGTACATACTCTCGAAGTAAATGGGCCCAGTTCGTAAACATTAAAATACTCACTGTTTCAAGAGTATAGCCACAAAATGTAAAGAATATGCATTTTTGCATGATTTTAGTATTTTGTAAGATTTTATCCAATTATACAACTTTGTTGCAATGACAATGCAATGTAAGGGCAGGGCAATACTCCCTCCTCTCCAGCGACCTGTCACTCGTATGAGATTAACAAAGGACAATGATTTAATTGGTTTCTGGTGGACAAAATCCCACCGTTTCACTCCAATGTGTGTCACAATGCCTCACTGTAACCTCCTTTTTTCTTTTTTCTTTTTTTTTTAAGAACTTGAAATATTCATTAAATGGCTAAATTGTCTTGTGTCCACAGAAAAATGCTATCGTATGACTATATACATAACTCAGAAGTTATATGGTGTTTTTACTTTTTTGGTTCTTTTAGCTTCTATTTTTTAGCTAATATTCATTGTAATTACATGACAAAACACTGATTGTGTGCGCAATTCTAGCTCAGATGGTGATATTTTCATATGTTGTGTCTTCTGATGGCTGGGAGAACACTGCTCCCATCTTTCTCCCCTGCTCTAGTATGGTTTGATTTTTCTCAGACTTCATTACAGCTGAGATGCCGCTGTTGAGCTGATCACCTCCTATTGAGCTCTCTGCCTCTGATAGTCCACCAGGATAACATCGGACCACAGCGTAGTCAGTTGTCAGCGAGGAGACGCCTCTGATCTCTTCTGACTCTGGTTGGATGTTTGTGAAGTCAATGGAGGCATAATGGAGTTCTTTCTCAGCTCCAGTAGGAGACAGCATGGCATTATTGGCATAAACAGGGCTACTCTCATCCTCCTGTTGAACAGATGAACAAATCAGCAGTGGAGAGCTGTGGTGTTTTCTGCTTGTAAAACATTTATTTAACAGAAGTTGCAGCATTTTTTTAAATGAACAGTGTACTTTGAGGGAACTCACCCTGTCAGTCAGAATCAGTCCAGTGCCACCGTCTCGTCTCGTGTTGCTTTCTCTTCTGAAAAATATATTTCCATGTGTCCATGATCAAAAAATATTGACATTAACATCAGCCATGTATGGATTTGAATTTTGACAAACAGGGTAAATGACTGGTGTAGTGACCTTCGCCAATGTGAACATACCTTGCACAGATAAGTAAAATGCCACATATGATCGTCATCAGAGAAGCCCCAACAGCAACTCCAACCAAAAAAAAGAAATGGTGGAAACCTGATAATATTTAAAAAAAAACACACACAAAAAATGTTTTTGGAGAGCCACTAAAAGATATTTTCAGTTATATGAAATAAAAAGCATCTAATTCTAATAAAGCTATTGATTCCACTCCCTCCTCTCTAGAAGAATGATCTGAGCAGCAAGCTTGAATTGTGGTTAGTAACAAAACGTGTTTGTCTTGTAAGCAAAAGCACGTCGTTAAGCAAAAAAGAATGCTCTTTTACAGCTTTTCATACAAACATTTACATAAAAGTGTGTGATGTGTGAGGCATTTATCCTTTGCCCTTTCTCTAATGTAACAACTGGAAATGAACAACACCAACAGAACTGTTAAAATGTATAAATAACGGTATTTAAGATGATGCATCTGTAAATACATTAAGCATTAAACCTTAAAAATCAATGTCTGTAAAACGTACCTGACACCTGAGGAGTGACATAAAACCGTTGACTTGCAGTGCCATGAGTGTTGTTGCTGGCACACTGCAGAGTGGATGTGTGTGTGAGAGACTGATGAAGAGTGATGGAGCTCCTCAAGCCTGTGCTGCTCAATCGCTCTTCACTGATGAACGTGTTTGAAGAGTTAGTGACAGGACGTTCAGACAGATGCCACTCCAGTTCAGGAGAGGGATTCCCATCAGCCTCACAGAAACACACAGTTACATCAGTTCTGGCACAACTGGAGGATGGAGAGATTTTAGGGGCATCTGAAAGTATTAAAACAACAAAACAAAAAAAAAACTGAATAACTACAATGATTCTGCTGCGGAACACAAAATAAGTTATTTTGAAAAATATCAACAGTCAGAAGAGTGCATTTGCAAAACAATCTAGTCTTACTGACTAGAATCCAGACTGGTCTGAAAGTCTGAAGCTACAATATATACTAAAAAAATCAATGTCCCTGCATTTAAATAAAACGTAAAAACAGCAATGTGGTAAGTTTAACTGGACAAATGAAAGGCCTTTTAATTATTATTTGGCCTTAAACGTAATAAAGATCAACATTTTTATAGCTAGTAGCTATTATTGCATCACAACACAATAACAGTGTCATAACTGAACATTTTATAATTTACTTTACGTTGGTAATGAATGTGACAAGGTAAGATTGGTTGTTATGTAATACTCACACTGAATGTCCAGCATCACTGAAGAGTTTTGTGTGCCATGTTGGTTCTGAGCTGTACAGTGGTACCAGCCTCTGTGTTTCAGGTCGATCCTATCGAAGGTAAGAGTGTGTCCAGTCTGCAGCTGCTCCATCTGTCCTTCACTCTCTCTGGACCAGGTGTAGTTCAGCACTGCTGGATTTGCATCACTGCTGCAGGTCAGAGTCACTGAACTGCCCTCCAACACAGAGCTGGAGGTATTCACTGAAGCTGATGTATTTTTAGGAGCATCTAAGAGGCAAAGATAAAATATTGATATTGCAAAGCTAACTGGCTTACTGGGAAGGTTGAGTAGCTAATATTTCTGTCAGTTACATACTGTATACAGTGGCCTAATTATTTAGACATAATATATGAATGCATTTGCATTAGGTAACAAAATATCAAAACAAGTGGCATTTATTTTAAGGTAGCCAAACCGTGTGCAACACAGAGCTGGAGGTAATTCCTGAAATTGAAATGTTTTAAGGGGCATCTGAGAAGAAAAGATAAAAGATTGATAGAGGAAGGAATAACTGTATGAATGAGATACTGTATAAAATTTATGAAAAAGTATTGGGATGCAAGCTTCATTAATGCATTTGCATGATGATATTTAGACATTATGTGTGGCTGAAGCATTCAGAACTGTTCAAATATTTTGGGGCCACTGTGTATATATATATAGGGTTCAAAAGTTTATATACAGTGGGTACGGAAAGTATTCAGACCCCCTTAAATTTTTCACTCTTTGTTATGTTGCAGCCATTTGCTAAAATCATTTAAGTTAATTTTTTTTCTTCATTAATGTACACACAGCACCCCATATTGAAAGAAAAACACAAAATTGTTGAAATTTTTACAGATTTATTAAAAAAGAAAAACTGAAATATCACATGGTCCTAAGTATTCAGACCCTTTGCTCAGTATTTAGTAGAAGCACCCTTTTGATCTAATAGAGCCATGAGTCTTTTTGGGAAAGATGCAACAAGTTTTTCATACCTGGATTTGGGGATCCTCTGCCATTCATATATATATATACTTATGATCTCTGTTTTACTACTGGCTCTGTCTTCCTCACACTGGTTAGAAAAGCGTGATGGTAACTGTGAAAAAATGTGGGTTTTTTTGTCACAGTTAAGATCACATTTTTTCTAACCAGTGTGAGGAAGACAGAGCCAGTACTAAAACAGAGATCATAAGTAGGCCTACAGTGGCATGCGAAAGTTTGGGAACCCCTTGCAGAATCTTTGAAAATGTGAATAATTTTAACAAAATAAGAGAGATCATACAAAATACATGTTATTTTTTTATTTATTACTGTCCTGAGTAAGATATTTTACATAAAAGATGAACCCTTCGTTCTTAATACTGTGTGCGGTTACCTGGATGGTCCACGACTGTATTTTTGTTTTGTGATGGTTGTTCATGAGTCCCTTGTTTGTTCTGAACAGTTGAACTGAGCACTGTTCTTCAGAAAAATCCCCCAGGTCCTGCAGATTCTTCAGTTTTCCAGAATCTTTTGCATATTTGAACCCTTTCCAGCAGTGACTGATTTTGAGATCCATCTTTTCACAATGAGAACAATTTAGGGACTCAAACACAACTATTAAAAAAGTCCCTCAATTGAGTCCCTCAATTGTCCTCAGTGTGAAAAGATGGATCTCAAAATCATATAATTAAAATTATAATTTTGTTCAAATTATTCACAATTTCACAGATTCTGCAAGGGGTTCCCAAACTTCCGCATGCCACTGTGTATATATATATATATATATATGTAATATTATATACATAAAAATTGTCACAATCAAATGTGTGAATAATGTTGAAGCGAGCGATTGTGCTGATGCATCAGCAGTCATTTCAGTCATGTGTTTTGCACATACACACAGAGGTCATTTCAGTCATGTGTTTTGCAAATGCACACAGAGACTACTTTCCTGTCTAGAGTCCAGATGTACTTGGTCTGAAGATCTGAAGCTACAATGTCTGGAACTCAACAGCCAATGATTGAAGCACTAATGAGAATGAATTATGAGATTGTGAACTTAACGCTCTAAATGTGTCCTAGCATTCAAATTAAACTGAAATAAACAGCAATGTGGTAAGGTTAACGGAATAATTTAGAGGCTTTTAAATTATTTTTTGGGCTCAAATTGAATCGAGATAAGTAGCTATTATTGCGTCATAACGCAATAACAGTGCCGCAACTGTTAATTTGATAATTTACTTTACGTTGGTAATGAATGTGACAAGGTAAGATTGGCTGTTATGTAATACTCACACTGAATGTCCAGCATCACTGAAGAGTTTTGTGTGCCATGTTGGTTCTGAGCTGTACAGTGGTACCAGCCTCTGTGTTTCAGGTCGATCCTATCGAAGGTAAGAGTGTGTCCAGTCTGCAGCTGCTCCATCTGTCCTTCACTCTCTCTGGACCAGGTGTAGTTCAGCACTGCTGGATTTGCATCACTGCTGCAGGTCAGAGTCACTGAACGGCCCTCCAACACAGAGCTGGAGGGAAGCACAGACACTGATGTGTTTTTAGGCGAATCTGAAGGGAAAAAATGGGTCTCACAATAAAAATCACAATAATATGATTGATATCAATAAAAATCACAATAATATGAAAACTAAAAAGCATCTCAAAGCCTCACTTACACTGAACATGTAATGTGATGCTGTGCTGTGCTGTTTTGTTCTCGTCCTGTAGCTGGTAGGTTATAGTGCAGGTGAAAGTGACTCTGTGCTGACGGTGAGTAGCAGTGAAGTTCAGATCAGAGATGAGCTCCTCTAGTCTGCTGCTCTCACTGAGGGGGATTCTGGGAGTGGAGCTCCATGTGAGAGTTGGTGGAGGAGAGGAGCAGAGAGTCTCAGCAGAGCAGCACAGACTCACAGAGCTCCCCTCCAACACCTCCTTCTGGTCCTGCACCTCCTTCTGATCCTGCACCTCCTTCTGCTCCACGTACAGCTGCACTGTGGGTTTGGGGGGAGAGTCTGAAAAAACACACAGAGTCGTGGTCAAAAATGTACATACAGTATTTGCAAAATGTTAAATATTTTACCAAAATAAAAGGGATCATACAAAATGCATGTTAATTTTTATTTAGTACTGCCCTGAATAAGATATTTCACATAAAATACATTTACATATAGTCCACAAGAGAAAATAATAGTTGAATTTATAAAAATGACCCCGTTCAAAAGTTTACATACACTTGATTCTTAATACTGTGATATTACCTGGATGATCCACAGCTGTTTTTTTTTTTTTACTTGTTCTTCAGAAAAATCCAACCAAATCAACTATTATTTTCTCTTGTGGACTATATGTAAATGTCTTTTTCTTTTGTTTTTCAGAAAAATCCTTCAGGTCTCACAAATTCTTTGGTTTTCCAGCAATTTTTGCGTATTTAAACCCTTTCCAACAATGGCTGTATGAGTTTGAGATCAGTCTTTTCACACTGAGAACAACTGAGGGACTACTACAGAAGGTTCAAATGGTCACTGATGCTCCAGAAGGAAAAACGTATTAAGAGCCAGGGTTGTGAACTAAATATCTTTTCTCTTTTTTTTCTTTTTTTTTTCATTTAGTACTGCCCTTCAGAAGCTACAGAAGATACTCACATGTTTCCCAGAAGACAAAATAAGTTCAATTTACCCTGATATTCAAATTCAAAAAGTTTTCACTGTAAGGATAAAAGAAACTCAGATACTTTGATCTCCTGAGAA